AACCCAGTTTCTTTTAGTGTTACCAGCTTCAAAATGAAGAAATATCTCTGAGGATCTATCTCTGCCGACTTTCGATCATTGCTCTTAATCCATTTTATGGATTAAATTAGAGCCCTCCAATAAGGTGCTGTCCATCCATCTCTCTCCCTCTCTCTGACTCTCCCCCATCTCTCTCTCTCTCTCAGTGATGACCAAGTTAGAGTACATTCCCATAGGTGCTAAGGGATGGCACAAACTGCTGTTCATTCTTTGGTTGTGCTTATTTTAAAGTTTTGGTAGCACTGACTTCCTCCTCCCCTACCCCCGCCCACAGCCGCAGACGCCTCGCCGCCCCCAACACTGTCCTGTACCATCTAGCTTGAGCTTTCCTTCTGCAGGGCAGCTTTCCCTCAAGCAAGATTTAATTGTACTTTGTTTTCAGATTTTATTTTTAACTAATCTCTACAACCGGCGTGGGGCTCGAACTTAAGACCCCCAAATCAAGAGTCACAGGCTCTAACGACTGAGTCAGCCAGGCGCCCCTTTTCTTTTCTTCTTCTTTTTCTTAACTTTTAGTTTTTTCAAGACCTCTAGCAAAATCGAAGGGAATGCAGAATATTCACTAATCCAGATAGTTTTCAAGTGCAGTACTTAAAAATGTAAAAATGGGTGCAGGGGCCCCACGGTGGTGTAGAGATTACTGAAAATGAATCATTTTAAAAAACTGAGTGCAGAAATAATTCCCGACGAGCAGACTTACCACGATTTTAAACAAAGGTAGGATCCTAAGCCGCCTGCTCCGCGTCTCAGACTTGTCGCCCTCGTCCCCGCCCACCCTGCTGCCAGTAGGACTTTTTTCTGTGAAGGGCGGCGGGCACTTTCCCGGCTCGCCGCCATCAAACCCGCCCGAGCGAGCGTCCGCCTTCGCCGCCCCACCCGCAGAGCGAGCGCTCAGCTCCCGCCGAAGCGCCAGTGCTCGGCGGGCCCGGCAGCCTCGAGGCCGCGGGGTGTTCGGTCAGCCGCGAGGACAGAGACGCTGCGAACCCGCCCAGCCCGCCGCCCGCGAAGGCGGGAGCCCGCGCCCAGCGCCGCAGCCCGTCCAGCCCGCGCAGCCGGCCTCCCGCGAAGCCGGCAGCCCGCGCCCAGCGCCGCAGCCCGTCCAGCCCGCGCAGCCGGCCTCCCGCGAAGCCGGCAGCCCGCGCCCAGCGCCGCAGCCCGTCCAGCCCGCGCAGCCGGCCTCCCGCGAAGCCGGCAGCCCGCGCCCAGCGCCGCAGCCCGTCCAGCCCGCGCAGCCGGCCTCCCGCGAAGCCGGCAGCCCGCGCCCAGCGCCGCAGCCCGTCCAGCCCGCGCAGCCGGCCTCCCGCGAAGCCGGCAGCCCGCGCCCAGCGCCGCAGCCCGCTTACCGTATGAACACGTTGGGATACTGGTTGCGCTGGAACAAGCCCTCCAGCTCGCGCAGCTGCAGCCGGCTGAACATGAAGCGCCGGGCCTGGGGCGGCGGCCCCTCCTGCTGAGGCTGGCCCTGCGGCCCCTGCGGCCCCTGCGGCCCCGGCTGCCCTGGCCCAGGCGGCGGAAATTCTGCGGCGCCGTGGCCGTCCGCCTCCTCGCCGACGCCATCGCCGTCGCCGACGCCATCGCCGTCGCCGACGCCATCACCGTCGCCGACGGCTTCGCCGTCCGCTTCCTCCTCGACTTCAGCGGCGGCAGGGTCCTGCTCGGGTGCGACCTCGGCCCCCGCCTCCGCCGCCGCTCCGTCTCCGGTGTCTCCCGTGTCCGCGGTAAGCGACATCGCCGCAGGCTGGGTTTCTGCAAAGGAGGAGATCCAGACAGAAAGATCAGGGCGTCAGAGCCCAGGCTGTGGGAAGGAGGGCGCGAGGGGCAGCCTCTGCGGGGTGTCGGGACCGCCCCCCTCGCCCAGGGAACGTTGGTTTCTGGGGCTTGCTGCTGGCGCCTGTCCCAACGGTCACCGACCCTGCGGCTCTTCCCGGTCCTCGTCGACTTCCAGGCTGAGGAAGCCGGTGTCATCGTCCTGGCCTGGGCCGGGAGGCTCCATATCCCTGGTGCTGTCTTCTGCACGTGCCCCGTCGGATCCTTCTGGATCCATGGGTGACGCCGCAGAGAGCGGTGGCCTGCCGACGGGCTCCCGCAAAGCGGTCCTGGCGTTGTCACGTTCCCGAGTGTCTGGGTAGACGCCCCCTTTATATATACCACCCGCTGCGGGGGGGGGGGTGGGCTCGCGGGGGGTTGGGCGCATGCGGCCTGGGCTTGGCCACCCACCAGGCGGGTGCACTTGCAAGGGGAGCTCAGGTAGGGCGCACTTGCCCGAAGGCGTCGGAGCCGGCAATGCCTAGCTAGAGAGGCTGAGTCTTCAAGTCGGAGCTGGGCTCGCACGCCCCGACCTGGTGGCCTGTCTCCCCCACAGGAAGGCGCTGTGCTGTATGGCGCAAGCCCGTGTGGGTAGGGTAAGACACAGACGTCCCCCTAGCTCTGGAGACCCTGCCCAAGTGTTGGGAGAGTGTCTCTTGGGCCAGCCCTGCGAATCCAGCCGCCGCGGCTAGGCAGGGAATAGTAATGCAAGGAAAGTGATGGACCCCGAGGTGGCCGTCTGAGGTTTTTCCGGGAGGCGGCTCACGTCAGAGCCCGCCAGACCCCCAGACCCCCAGACCCCTGGGTCCCCGGGAACAGGAGCTTGGGCTGGGGTCTTCTGAGCGCGCCTGTTGCTCAGATGCACTCTGCAAATAAAACCACGCTTGCCCCTTGAGAGCGTCCTGTGCCTCCGGGATTTTATGGATTTTTTTTTTAAGATTTTCTTTCTTTCTTTAATTGACAGACACAGAGAGAGAGAGAGAGAGAGACAGGAGAGAGGGAACACACAAGTGGGAGAGGGAGAAGCAGGCTTCCCGCTGAGCGGAGAGCCGGATGCGGGCTCGATCCCAGGACCCTGGGATCATGACCTGAGCTGAAGGCAGTCGCTTAACCGACTGAGCCACCCAGGCGCCCCCTGTGCCTCCGGGATTTTAGTAATGAAGACACATCTCAGTACAGGGCTGCGAACCTGCGCGGGGCTTAGAGCGTTCCAGGTCGGCTTCAACTGGACAGAGCTCCTGCTCGCTTGGGTTTTTTTCCGTTTTTCTTTTTCAAAGTTGTGTTCCTCTCATTGCAACCATGGATCTTGAAACACCTTTGGGCACAGCGTCTATGCCTCTGCCTCGAGATTCTCTATACAAGCATGCATGTCCCTTAGGGTGGGACCCTTTGGATCTGGGTCATCACCCACTTTCCTGCCGCTCTTTCTCCACCCCCCCCACCTCCTCCCCTCGGCTTTCCTAGAAATGGCTTTCTGAGCCCTTGCTGAGGAATAAATAAATTTCATTTCTTTGTTGTTTTCTTTTTCGTTTCCTTTCTTATTCTTGTTTCTTGCAGCGGGGGATACATTCTTATTGGTTGGAGAGCTGAGTTTAAGCAGGTGTTTGGTTTCTCCAGGTGAGTTCGATAAAGGGACAAGGGCCAAGAGATTTGGGGTATAGCAAGGAATCGATGATAAAGAGTGGCTATATGGTTTGTCCCAATTCAATAAATGTAAGGTGTTGTGCCTTCTTTTGTCTGTAAATTTTACATCCAAAGAAGAAAACCCTAAGCAAATACTGAACTCAACCTGATGGTATGCATGCTTCTTTCTTGTCCAATAAAAGAGAGCGGGCCGGATTGAGGGCTCTGCGGATTTCCCTTCCAGAACTGTTTTATAGATGCTCCGGCACTTGTTAATATCCTAAGTATTGAAAATAGCTTCTAAGAACGGGTCCTGTGCAGGACAGTGTACCTGACTTAGCCCATGTTTACCGTGCTCAGCCGCCCCGTTTGAAATCCGGAGCTACAGCATTTCTGCGGGCTCCTAAATGCAGCATGGGTCCTAGGCAGCTCACCGACTGCGCCTGACGGAGGGAGGTGGCCCGGCCTCGTGCTCGCAGAGGACGGGTAAGACACTGAGAAAGGTCTGTGGACCGATTCGTTTTCACGGAGCTGGTAAGGGGTGACAGCGGGACTACCTCCTCCTGACTTGAGCCAGATGTTTCCTCCTCCGGCTGGCCCTTGGTGAGTGCGGCCGGCCCGCCCCAGCCCCTTGGCCAGATACCCCAGGCACAGTTTTGACTTGAGGTTAATTATTGCGTGAGAGCCCTACAAGGGTTGTCGTCATGTGCGTGTTAGAGCACCTCCAGTATCTGCGTGTTCTTTCCTGTGTCCGATCTCCGCGGGGCAGTCCAGCTTGCTCTACCTCAGCCACTCACGTGACCCTTGACAGATCTCGCCCTACCTGGGCCCCAGTCGTGCTAGCATTCACTGAGCATGTTTCCTTCCCTACCTTCACACTTTGCACACCTTAGCAACCGAACGGAGCCTCGTCCTCGGCAAAAGTAGCCCCGAATCATGGTTCCACGTGCCACATCCACGGGAGGGGGCTCTGGAGCCAGAGGGCTGCCACCTGCATCCGGCTTGCTCACCCCTTGCGAGCTGGCTGGCCTGCTGAGTTGCTTATTCTCACTTTAGCCCGGTCTCCTCATCTGCAAGAGGAGGCTAGCAGTAGCCACTACCTACCGGGGTGCTGCCGGAGTAACTGAGATGAGGAAAATACACTGCTACCGAGGGCCCTACCGTGCGGCCTCACGTCTCCGATTTCAGTCCGTTTTGTGTTTCTTTATTCACAGGGGCCCATGAGGGAAGAGAGGCGAGGGTTATTCACTCACAGCTGGCCTGGGGACAGAAAGTTGTCTTGGGACTCTAAGGTCTCTAGCCCTACCTGTCCTTTGGGTCCTTTTCTCCCTCTTTTTTGGTTTTTTGTTTTCTTGTTTGTTTGTTTGTTTGTTTTAAGTAAACTCTAGACCCCGTGTGGGGCTGGGACCGCTGACTCCAAGATCGAGAGTCACACGCTCCACCATCTGAGCCAGCCAGGCTCCCCCCTGCATGCCTCTTTGTGCCTACACAGACTTCGGTCAGTAAAGCTTTGTCGGCTGCTGTGTTTACAGGGCCCTCTGCCAGGCAGTGCGGGGCAGGTCTCTGGTCCAGACTCAGCCATCCTCGTGCCCTGGTTCTCCCGGTCTGGGGAGACAGATCAGCCCACGTGAGAGAAAGAAGCTGGAAATGATGGAGTCCCAGCACCACTCAGTGGCTCTGTGGCCCAGGTAAATCAGCTGATCTCTGTGCCTCCCAGGCCAGCTCTGCAGAGTGGGGATCGTGATGCTCCCTGCTCTCCCGAGCTGTGACTTTTACTCGAAGTGATGCAAGTAAGGCCCGGGGGGGGGGCGGGGGCGCTCAGACAAGTGGAGCCGATGCTGGAGTTAAGGGGTCAGGACTGAGTGGGGTCAGGCTGGACATGGGCCCTCACTGTGATCGAAGGTGCGGACAGGGTGCCTCGCCCCTGCTCCTAAGCAGATGGGAGAGCCTGTGGGGTGAAGGGAGCTCTGCTTGCTCGGGCTGGTGCCCTCCCGGGAGTGCTCGCCGTGCACCAGGGCCTGGCTCATCCACCTTTCCGCTGTCCCTTGTGCGTGACAGGGCGCTGTGGCGCCCCCCCCCCCCCACCCAGGGCGGTGGAGGCATCACTGTTTTGTTTTGTTTTGTTTTTAAGATTTTATTTATTTATTTGAGAGAGAGAATGAGAGAGAGAGAGAGCACATGAGAGGCGGAGGGTCAGAGGGAGAAGCAGACTCCCTGCTGAGCAGAGAGCCTGATGCGGGACTTGATCCTGGGACTCCAGGATCGTGACCTGAGCCGAAGGCAGTCGCTTAACCAACTGAGCCACCCAGGCGCCCGGCATCACTGTTTTTTGCTTCTTCCTTAACCAAGGCCGTGGAGGCTTGGAGAGGTTCGGTGACTTTGACCAGGTGACACAGCTTGCTGGGGGCGGTGGGGGGGGGGCGGCAGGATCCAAAGCTCCGAAGAGACTGTTCCTAGCAGCCCCTGGTTGAAGGCGATTTGGCTTCTGGGGAGTTGTGGGCTTTCCCTTCCTCCTCAGAGGGAGTCAGAGGTGGGTGCAGGCTAAGCAGGCTGTGCGTGGAACTTCAGGTAAAGGGGTAGTGTGAGCAACCCCGGGAGGGAGGGAAGTCTAAGGCTTGTCTCAGGGAACCCAGACACAGCCAGGGGGCTCTGGAGTGTGAGCTGGAGAGGAAGCTAGAGAGGAGTCTGCAGAGAACTCTGTATTGAGGGGCCAACAAAGTTTAAATGTTAGGTGGGGGCTGAGTTCAAGGAAGGCGTTGGAATGTGTATGTTTGGGATGATGGAAACTGAAAGAGGTTTGGGCTTGGGGGGTGGCACCTTCATGAAAGCAGTGTTTTAGGATGAGTTTCTGGGGGGGAGTGTCAGCCGGCTCTCGGTTCCGTTCATTGCAGTTAGTGGGCGTGGGGAGCAAGGTCCAGAGCCTGAGTCCTCACTTGGAGGCCACGGCTGTCCACCGGGTATGTCGTGAGTCCCCTGGAATTGGAATGCAAAATTCCGTGTGTGGTGGCATTGCAGTAATGTGGGCGCCTTTCGTCAACTAGAGGGGGGACAGTGCCCCTAACCACCCCCTCCCACCTTAAGAAATATCATAGAAAAGACCAGGGAATTGAGTAGAACGCGGGCTGTGGACCTGGCCACATGCATCTGGTTTCAGGGCACAGCCTGGTTCTTCTTCTTTCCAGAATTCTTATGAAGTCAGAATGAAGTATGGAAAGATGGTTTCCTTTTCTCTCTCCTTCCTTTTGTCCTTCAGCCTCTCTCTCTCCCTCCCTCCTCCCTTCATCTCTCCCTCCCTCCTTTCTTCCTTCCCTCCCTTCCACTCTCCCTTCTTCCCTCTCTTCCTCTTCCCTCCTTTCTCCTTCTCTCCCTCCTCCCTCCCTGTCTGTCCCTTCTCCCTCCCTTCTACCCTCCCTTTCCCTACCTCCTTACTTCTCCTTCCATCTTCCCACTTCCTCCTTCCCTCACTCCATCCCTCCTTGTCTCTCTTCTTTCCCTCCCTGTCTTTCCTCCCTCCTCTCTCCCTCCTTCCTACCCTTCCTCCTGCCTCTTCCCTTCTCTCCCTCCTCCCTCCATCCCTCTGTGTCTCTTTTCCTCCCTATCGTGTGTGTCTGTGCACGCACTCATGCACATGTGTGTGTAATTGTGTCCGTGTCTATGTACCATGAACAAGCACCAAAGATATAAGCAAGTCATGGAAAAAAAGATCATACATGATTGAAAATCACATATCATCTAGAACAAGGGAAATGCCACACCTAAGTAACAAAGCAATATATGGGAGTTCAAAAAAGGTAGAATTTATATTCAGTACAATTCTGGAAACACAGTCTGAAGAAGTAGACTTTAAGATGACTTTTGAAGCATGGATAGAAGTTCTCACTGGCCTTCCCCAAATACTTCCTCCTTAATAACAAAAGTAACATAACATGGGGTGCCTGGCTGGCTCAGTCAGTAGAGCCTGGGACTCTTTTTTTTTTTTTTTAAGATTTTATTTATTTATTTGACAGAAAGAGAGAGATCACAAGCAGGGGGAGCATCAGGCAGAGGGAGAAGCAGACTCCCTATTGAGCAGGGGCTTGATCGCAGGACCCTGGGATCACGACCCAAGCCGAAGGCAGATGCTTAACCGACTGAGCCACCCAGGCGCCCCAAGATTTTATTTATTTATTTGAGAGACAAAGCAAGAGGGCCATCGAGGGAGCACAAGCAGGTGGGGCTATAGAGGGAGAGGAGAAACAGTCTCCTCACTGAGTAGGATCCTAGGATTTTGGGATCATGACCTGAGCCAAAGGCAGACGCCTATCCGACTGAGCCACCCAGGTGTCCCAGAGAGGGAAAGAATCTTAAACAGACTATTCTCCAAGCAGGCCGCCCCATGGGCGGATCGCACCACTCCCAGATCACAATCTGAGCCTAAATCAATAGTCAGCTGCTTAACCGACTGAGCCACACAGGCGCCCCGTCATAATCTATTTCTAAATAAAAAAAAAATAATAATGAAATAAACCTACTAATTACTCTCCATTCCCTTGTGAAAGGTGATCTCCCTGTATCAGAAGGTAAAAAGACATCCTTACGACCAGAGGTGGGAAATTTAGAACGAATTAAGCTGTATAAACAACCCTTATTACTTTTTACTAATTTACTCCCCCAGCCCAAATTCTGTTTAAAATTCCTTACAAATCAAAGCTCCCAAACACAAGTTTTCTTTGTCCTGTCAATTCCTCACAGATTAATTTTCCCTTTATCTTAAAATTTCTAAAACTTACCTGCTTTAGTCAATTCTTTGGGTCTCAATTTCACTATTGGGCCTCTGTGCAAACGTAATAAAACTTTAGTTTTTTAATGAGCACTGGGTGTTATACGCAACTGATGAATCACTAAATTCTACTGCTGAAACCAATTTGAAAAAAAAAGACTTTAGCTTTTCCTTCTGTTAATCTGTCTCCAGTACATTTAATTCTTAGTCCATCTGGAAGACCTTGAAGAATAAAAAACATTTTTTCTTCCCTTTAGTAGTAACCTCTTAAACCTTGGCCTTAGTGGTATTTTTCAGGATCAGTCTCCTTAAGCAAGGAAACAAAAGCAAAAATGGACTATGAGATTACATCTAAAAAATTAAAATTTTTTTGTACAACTAAGGAAATCATCCTGCTGTTGTTTCTAATTGTCTGGGAAAGAGGTGTAGAGAGTGGCAGGCCTAAATTTTAGTTTTCTGGAATTCTTTGATAAGTCAGCTGGAAAACATTGTTAACATAGTATGTTGTGGGGGCGCCTGGGTGGCTCAGTTGGTTAGGCGACTGCCTTCGGCTCAGGTCATGATCCTGGAGTCCCGGGATCAAGTCCCGCATTGGGCTCCCTGCTCGGCAGGGAGTCAGTCTGCTTCTCCCTCTGACCCTCCCCCCCCCGTTCTCTCTCTCTATCTCATTCTCTCTCTCAAATAAATAAATGAAATCTTTAAAAAAAAAAACATAGTATGTTGTGCATTATGTTGGAGATGGAGGGGAGGTTGCAACCTTTGAAATACGTCAATGATATTAAACAAAGTAAAAGAACTATTCTTTCTTAATTTTTTAAAAGTAATCTTTACCCCCAACCTGGGGCTCCAACTCACAGCCCTGATATCAAGAGTCACGTGTTCTTCCTACTGAACCAGCCAGTTGCCCCTAAAGGAACAATTTCAAACAAAATTCCACCCACCTAACAACTGTGTTAGGCGAGAGTAATGCCTTGGGAACATCACTCAAAGTCAATTTTAGCATCTACCAAATGCATTAGTGAATATTCTATTGAGGAATTACTAAAACCCCAGATTTTTACCTTCCTTATTGTGGTCCTATTACGAAGACATTGTATGGAATTTGTCACTAGTGGGGAGATGACTTTAACCTCATGCTGGTTTCTTCCATGTGGTAATTCAAACTACTTTTTCTTTTTTTAAAGATTTTTATTTATTTATTTGACAGAGAAAGAGACAGCGAGGGAGGGAACACAAGCAGGGGGAGTGGGAGAGGGAGAAGCAGGCTTCCTGCCGAGCAGAGAGCCCGATGTGGGGCTCGATCCCAGGACCCTGGGATCATGACCTGAGCTGAAGGCAGACGTTTAATGACTGAGCCACCTGGGTGCCCCTCAAACTGCTTTTTCATTGGCTCAGTCAGTGATGGCTAATTTGTGGCTCAAAGGAACAAGGGATGATTGCTTGAAACCATAGAAAACTATAAATTGTGTGGAAGGATAATTTGGAAAAAACAACAAAAATAAGAGGAAAAGAAAGAGAGAAAAAGAAAACTCAGGGTGGGTTCATAGCTTCGCTGCATGCACAGAAGGTAATTTGTGATGGAAAGGGGGCAGCAGAAGAGAGGTGGGGAGGCCAGAGAGGCAGCCTACAAAGCAGGCCCCCGAGACCAGGGGCTGGGCTCGCAGCCAGGGGTGCCCAGACCTGGGAGGCCCAGGCCTCTCTGCTTTGTGGAGCAGGCCAGGCAAGCTCAGAGGAACAGATACCCTTAAGTTTGGGTGAGTTGATGTTCCCCTCCTCGGGCTTGCATTGTGCTCTCTCAGTCGGGCTCTGAAGGGAAAAGGAGCCGCAAGACACGAACGAGGAAAAACACATCACGGTCTCATCCATTTACAAACTCTAAGCATGAATTTTGGAAGAAAAATTTCCCCATTTTTATTAAGATATAAGTGACACACGGCCCTGTATAAGTTTAATGAGTACAGCATGATCATCTGACCTACATCTGTTGTGAAATGTTTACCACGGTCAGTTCAGTTACGTCCATCATGTCCTAGAGAGACAGACAAAACAGAAAGAGGAAAAATGTTCTTTTCTTTGTGATACCTGGTCTTAGGATTGACCCTCTTACCAGCTTCCATATATACCCTACAGCAGTGGGGCCTATAGGCATGTTGTGTATTATATCCTCAGCACTTATTTTTTCTTAAGTGCAAATTTGTACCTTTTGACCACCTGCATCCAATTCCCCCTCCGCACCCCCTCTGGTAAGCATAAATTTCACCACTTCTTCTATGAGTCTGAGTCTTTTTTTTAAGATTCCACATAGAACTGAGACCTTAGCGTGTTTGTCTGAGGAAGATATTAATGGCGCCCTCCCTCTACTTTGCAACTACGCTAAGAGTTGTTTTATGAAACCAGTACTGGAAATAGGGAACTGGCATCCGCCTGCACCTCAGTTGGCCCGCTTTGTGCTTTGGCTATGTTGATGCAGATTTGACCTCCGGTAAGCCTGGGTCCCCCCAGAATGAGCTCCAAGACACTGGCTTTTTCAGCCGACATGCTCGTGCAGCGAAGGTGGGAGAGGGGAAATGAGGCAGACAGGAGAGGGACAGGGAGAGGCCTCCGCGAACGAACGCTCTCCTTTGAGTCGGCCTGGGTCAGCCTGAGGCCTGCCTTCGGTTGGGCTGCCCTCCACACCCAAACATCCCCGTCACCAAGGTCCGTGGGAACCAGGGGAAAGCCTGCTCTGGGGAGAATTCCCTCCTCGCACACCGCTTGTGAGGGGTCCTGTTTGCTTCCTGTACTATGACAGCAGGTTGAGTTCAGCCCCCAGTAAGTGGAGCTCACTCCCAGCACATACACCCCACGGAGCCAGGCAGCCCCTTTCCACCTGGCTCCTGGGTCAGGTCCTCAAGGAGAGCCTGGGCGTGTGTGTGTGTGTGTGTGTTGAGGGGGTGGCCGGGCCCTCCTGGCACCGTGTGTGCGCATGCGTGCGTGTTGGGTGGCTGGCCGGGCCCTCCTGGCACTGGGTGTGTGTGTGTGTGTGTGTTGGGGGGGTGGCCGGGCCCTCCTGGCACCGTGTGTGTGCGTGCGTGTGTGTGTTGGGGGGGTGACTGGGCCCTCCTGGCGCGTGTGTGTGTGCGTGCGTGTGTGTGTTGGGGAGCTGGCCGGGCCTTCCTGGCACTGTGTGCGCGCGTGCGTGTTGGGGAGCTGGCCGGGCCCTCTTGGCACCGTGCGTGTGCGCGTGCATGTTGGGCGGCTGGCGGGAACCTCCCGGCACCGTGTGTGTGCGCGTGCGTGTTGGGGGACTGGCGGGGCCCTCCCGGCACCGTGTGTGTGCGCGTGCGTGTTGGGGGGCTGGCCGGGCCCTCCTGGCACCGTGTGTGTGCGCGTGCGTGTTGGGGGCTGGCCGGGCCCTCCTGGCACCGTGCGTGTGCGCGTGCGTGTTGGGGGGCTGGCCGGGCCCTCCTGGCACCGTGTGTGTGCGCGTGCGTGTTGGGGGGCTGGCCGGGCCCCCTGGCACCGTGCGCGTGCGTGTTGCGGGCTGGCCGGGCCCTCCTGGCACCGTGCGTGTGCGCGTGCGCGTTGGGGGCTGGCCGGGCCCTCATGCCACCGTGGGTGTGCGCGTGCGTGTTGGGGGCTGGCCGGGCCCTCCTGGCACCGTGGGTGTGCGCGTGCGTGTTGGGGGCTGGCCGGGCCCTCATGCCACCGTGCGTGTGCGCGTGCGTGCGTGTTGGGTGGCTGGCCGGGCCCTCCTGGCACCGTGCGTGTGCGCGTGCGTGTTGCGGGGCTGGCCGGGCCCTCCCGGCACTGTGAGTGTGTGCGCGTGTGTGTTGGGGGATTGGCGGGGCCCTCCCGGCACCGTGTTGCGCGCGTGCGTGTTGGGGGGCTGGCCGGGCCCTCCCGGCACCGTGCGTGTGCGCGTGCGTGTTGCGGGCTGGCCGGGCCCTCCCGGCACCGTGCGTGTGCGCGTGCGTGTTGCGGGCTGGCCGGGCCCTCCCGGCACCGTGCGTGTGCGCGTGCGTGTTGCGGGCTGGCCGGGCCCTCCCGGCACCGTGCGTGTGCGTGTGCGCGTTGGGGGCTGGCCGGGCCCTCCTGGCGCTGCCAGTTTAGCGTCTCTGTCTTTAGTGCCGCTGGTTAGCAGCAAAGCGGAGGGCCCGTTTTCCTCCTCGCCGTCAGGGTGCCGGTGCTGCCTTCCCCTGGGGCGCACCAGTCCTCCCGCTCCGCGGATCCTCTCTGATTTGTCTCCCGCAGGCGCCGAAGCTTCTCCCTTCTTTCCAGGCAGTGTCCTTACCGGGTGTCCTGCCGGAGGGAAGCAGCCGGGTGGGGGCCGAGCCCAGCGCGTGGGGTGGTTTGAAGCCCCTGCTCGGGAGGATGGCCACGGCCTTCCTGGGAGGGACAGGAATGTCAGCTTCCTTGCCTTTAGTCACTTCAAGGGACACCAGCCAGCTCGGCCCAAGGGTTGGGGGTCTCCGTAGCCCTCTGGGCCGAGGCTCGAGCGATGTCTTCAGGAGCCGATCCGAGTGTGCGGGCAGCAGAGGCAGGCTTGCTGTTCACGGAGGTATTTGTTCCCCGTGTGCTTAGCCTTCTGGCCGCAACCCGCCCGCTCTGCCTTGGGGGCTCCTTTACCTGCCACAGGGGCCTGCAGGGAAAAGCTCATTCTGGTGGCGCGGAGGAAAAATACCTTTCCCTTTAGCCTTCTAGGTTTGGCTGTGCCGGGGAGCAATATTTGTCCCCCTCCATGTGTTTCCTTGGTATGTGGATTAGTTTTGGTAATTATTTTTTTTTTTAACTTTTTTTTTTTTTTTTTTTTGAGAGAGAGTGCACAACCGGGTGTGGGGCAGAGGCAGAGGGAGAAAGAGACTCCCCGCTGAGCAGGGGGCCTGCCGATGCGGGGCTCGATTCCAGGACCCTGAGATCATGACCCCAGCTGAGGGCAGCTGCTTAACCGACTGAGCCACCCAGGCGCCCCTTAATAATTATGTTTAAGAAATAGGAGACTCAAATTTTTTTTTGGCTTCCCCTCTAATTGCCTAAAAGAATTTATTTTTTAAAGATTTTATTTTTAAGTAATCCCTAGACCCAAGGTGAGGCTCGAACTCACAACCCCAAGATCTAGAGTCGCACACTCCACTGACTGAGCCAGCCAAGCGCCCCTAACTGCCTAAAAGAATTTAGATTGAGCCCCTGCTCCGGAAAGAGAGCTATCAGCAGAGATAAGGACAGTATCATGTAAACTCGTGTGGTTGCCCCTCTGGCAACCTCCAGTGTGTGTTTCTGCTTCTGTTTCTGTAGTTTGTGCTCTACTGCCCACCAGGCCCCTAGGATGTTGGCCGACTATGCTAGGGACTAATGCTGAGTGCAGGAATGCTCCTCCTCAGTATCTGGAAGGGACTGAAAATGAGGAGCCAGCAACCCAGATCCCAAAGCACAGCCAATGGCTCCTGGTGTCATAGATTCCAAATACAACTGAGCAACTGTCAAATCGTATCTTTATGTAAAGGGAGAAAGGCGCTGATGTTTGGTGAGCAAGAGTGAACACCAGGACTCCGTGCCTTAAGTGGCGGGTGGCTTAGTGCTGAGACGGAGTGAGAAACCTTGATTTAAGAGCCCTTTGGGGGCACCTGGGTGGCTCAGTCGTTAAGCGTCTGCCTTCGGCTCAGGTCATGATCACAGGGTCCTGGGATCGAGCCCCGCATCGGGCTCCCTGCTCCACAGGAAGCCTGCTTCTCCCTCTCCCTCTCCCCCTGCTTGTGTTCCTTCTCTCGCTATCTCTCTGTCAAATAAATAAATAAAATCTTTAAAAAAAAAAAAAAAAAGAGCCCTTTGAAGAAGAGCTCTGCGCAGGAAGGTGGTGGTAAGTGCTGAAGCATTCAACCTGGGTGAGCCCTGCCCCTACCTGGAAGGTCCAGGCCCAGCGCAGGGCATGGCTCCCTAGAGGCTGGACTTCTGTGGGATGAACTCAGCACACTCTCTCTTGCAGGTCACCCCGCTGCTCTGGGCTTGTGTTCCTTCATCTGTAATATGAAGGGAATGGACTGGATGCCTGCAAAAGTGCCTTACAGAACAGAGAGACGACAGTGATTTCTTCCTTTAACCTGGGTGAACCCCAGAAGACAAAGAGGTACTATTTTTTGGAAAAGGAGCATGAGATGATGAGGCTGGTTCTCTGTTGTTGCTGACCTTTTCCTACAGGGCCTGTGAACATTTGTCTCACTTGCCCAATGCAAGTGAGCTTGTGTGAGAGTCCCACAAAGGAAAATGAGCACCAGTTTGCCGAGAGGAAGTGGCTGAGGCAAGGACTGGCTCTCACTGGGACACCTTGCTGCCTTGGCTTAATGGGAGTGAGCAGAAGTCTCAAATGAATCCCCAAGTAAAAGTAATGACACGCAGCATTCCTAGGACAAGGGATGTGTTACCACAGCAACTGACTCCCGAGGTGTCCACTCAAGATTTTGAGAACCCCAGACCCCATCCTGGGCTACAGCAAGTCATATGAGACCAAGTTCGCCTTACCTACCAGGAAAGGCAGTGAAGGACTCTATTTTTTGCTCCATTTTTCCACGTCCAGGATTCCAACTTTCCCTAGAGATGTCACATCAGCACCAAATGACTGCATGTTATGCATACGGGTGGGCAGAGCGAGCCCAATGATAAGCATAGCACCCCACAGTCAGAACTCTGGCAAATGTATTTCTGTTCTTGTGAAGACAACTCAGAACAAACTCCATTCCTCTGTTTTGTATACATTTATAGTAATTATTATCTTTATTTAAAAAGTCACTTCTCACATCTGTTTGGAGGGACCACTTTTTTTTTTTAATCAAGAGTCACATGCTCTACAAACTGAGCCAGCCTGGTGCGCCTGAAGGACCACACTCTTGTACTGATTTTTTTTTTTTTTTTTAAGTAATCTCTATGCCCAACATGGGGCTCGAACTCAGGACCCTGTGATGAAGAGTTGCATGCTCTCCCAAGTCAGTCAGGCACCCCCACACTCTTATATTGAGATAAAGACTTGCTTCTGGTCCCTTCCTTTGCCCCTGGCCCTTTGGTTCTAAGTACTTGTAGCTAAAATTGTTATCTGGAATTTTGATTGTTAGGTACTTCCAAGTTAAATCTCCAAGATTCTGATCATATTTGTTTGAATCAAGATCCAGGTTACATAAATCTAATTTTAATCAAAAAAAGTTTTTCCCCAAAATAGTTACGCCTTCTTCCTACTTAATTTGACCATCAACCTTACCATTTTGAAAGTTAGCTGCCATGTGTTGTTTATTGTGGAAAACTGTAGAAAGCAAGACTACCTCGAGAACTGTTACATTACCATAAAATGCTGAATCTGCTGCACTCCTTAAAGATTGTACTTACAACTTTACAGCCAAAACCAACATCTATAGGGGCGCCTGGCTGGCTCAGTCAGTAGGGCATGCAACTCTTGATCTTGGAGTTGTTTAAGTCCGAACCCGATGGTGGGTATAGAGATTACTTAAAAAAAAAAACAAAATTAAAAAAAAAAAATCTACAAGACAACCCATCTCAGGTCAATGAAGTTGTTGGTTGCTAGTTTCTTTTTCCTTTTTTTTTACGATTTTATTTTGGGGGCACCTGGGTGGCTCAGTCATTAAGCGTCTGCCTTTGGCTCAGGTCATGATCCCAGGATGCTGGGATCGAGCCCCGCATCGGGCTCCCTGCTCAGTGGGAAGCCTGCTTCTCCCTCTCCCACTCCCCCTGCTTGTGTTCCCCTTCTCACTGTGTATCTCTCTGTCAAATAAATAAAATCTTTTTAAAAAACTAAAAAAAAACTAACATCTACAAGACGAACCATCTCAGGTCAATGATGTTTTTGGTTGCTAGTTTCTTTTTCCTTTTTTTTTTTAAAGATTTTATTTTGGGGGCACCTCGGTGGCTCAGCCGGTTAAGCGTCTGCCTCTGGCTCAGATAATGATCTCAGGGTCCTGGGATCAAGCCCCACGTGGGGCTCCCTGCTCAACGGGGAGTCTACTTCTCCCTCTCCCTCTGCCTGCAGCTCCCCCTGCTTGTGTGCTCTCTCTGTCAAATGAATAAATAAAATCTTTAAAAAATATATTTTATTTTTAAGTAATCTCTACACCGAACGTGGGGCTCAAACTTACACCCCCGAGATCAAGAGTGACATGCTCCACCAACTGAGCCAGCCAGGTGCCCCATCGATAGCCAGTTTCTAAAAATTTTTTTAATAAATCAAAGTTATTTCCTTATATTAGAATAATTAATTCCTGATCTATGCATTTGGGATATTTAAAATGTACATTAAGAGAAATTCTGTTGGAGCACCTGGGTGTCTCAGTCGGTTAAGCGTCTGCCTTTGGTTCCGGTGGCAATCCTGGGGTCCTGGGATTGAGCCCCATCTGGGCTCTGCACCCAGTGGGGAGTCTGTTTCTCCCTCCCCCTCACTTGTGTTTTCGCTTTAGCTTGCTCTCTCTCTCAAGTAAATAAAATCTTTTAAAAAAAAGAAATTCTCTTCGGGGCATTCATTAATTTGGGGGATTAATGAAGGCCTCTCTCTCTTTGTAAACCTAGACTAAGTGTAAATTATAATCTGCAGCCACATTCTGCGTATTTCTTATGCCTCAAGCCACCACTCTGCCTTAATACATCTGGGATTTGAAAGGAAAGACAAGTTTAAAAACATAGTGTATATGACAAAAATGCCATGCACTTACAGGAAAGATATTCTTTGTTGTTGTTGTTGTTGTTGTTTGTTTCTTCTGGGTAGCCTGAGCTTCAAAAAAGAATGTTCTTTGTTAGCGTGTGTCAGACTGGATGTGAGCGTTAACTGAGGGATTCTTGCTGAGTGTTCTCTGGCTTTCAGTCTCTATGTGCTTCTTCCAGCTGTGGCCAGAGCAGAGAAGGGGTCAGGACTGGGTCTGACGGTACCTGGAGCCTACTGGTACAGACCCCGCAGTTCTGAAGGTACTTAAAGCATTGAGAAACTTAATATTTAAAAAAGAAAGAGAGTGGTCAACACTAGGAAATAATTTTTGGTTTCAAAATCATCTGGTGAGAATGGCAATGGGCATGTATGCGCAGGAACGTTCTTGAATTTCCCTCACTCCCAGCAAGGCCTGGGGTCTCTGGGTAACAGTAACGTCCTGTTTGTGGAAGGCTGACATTGCAGACGGTTCTCTGACATCTGTCACTCACGAGGGAAGAAGGAATAAAACATTAGCGGCCACCATGGCCAAGAGCGTATGCTTTCCCAAGAAAACAGAGCCTCCCACGCTGGGAACATATTAAGTGCTGCCAAACTGGTCTCTGATTAACTCCCATGAGAGGAAATTCTGATGTGACCATGGCACCTTATCTGTGGTTTATTGCAATCACTTCATAGGACTGTGGCGGCCACAGCTGATCACTTTTAACACAGAACTCCATTAAAGGAGCCTCACATTTCTACAGATTCCTCAAAAACAAAGGTTGAACTGAGAAGAAAGTAATGCTTTAAAAAAAAAAAAAGTGGGCCTGGCCTCTCCATTTCACCAACCCTTACTTGTTTTTTTCTACACTGGCATTTGCACACAAAGAAGACAGCATGAACAAAGCAAAGGTATGACTGCTTCTTCACAGTGTGTGATTATTCTAGAACACTGCTCAGGAGACCGTCTCCTTACTCTTGCTTTCAGCAGCAGTAAACCAACAGGTCTCCTTTCAGTGTTTAACAACAGGAATTGGGGTCCTCTCTAGGATGTTGAAGGTGCCAAAGTACTTTTGAAAGCGTGATGGTCAGCTTCTGAGTTGCAGAAAGATCGATAATATGCTTTCCTGGGCTGTTGGGGGGGGGGGAGGGGTGGAAGAAAAGGGAGAAGAGCCTCTTTTTGACCCTGATGGAATCTCTTCTCATTTTTCTGTTGAAGCAAGAGAACCTGTGTGCCAGAATGGCTTCAATCCCCCAATCTCCTCCACAAAAAGGGAGGGTCGTGAACAGAATTTCAGACATGCTGGTTGAATGTTCGGTGGCCACCTTCCATAAATCCCTGTGAGGAGCCTCTTAGGAGGTCTCCCCTAGAGTCCAGTGTTCAGCCTGAACGTGTCAGCATGAGTGGAGCTCATCTCCGGAAGTGATACTGTTCTCTCACTAGGGACTCGCCCCACCCCATCTTGCACATATTTGTGGTCCCAAAGGGGCAAGGTGGGGATGAAGATGGGCTGAGGGATGGAAGAGAATATATGGGCCAGTGCAAGCTCATCATGGGCACCTGGCGAGCCTCTGTGACAGGCAGGGCCTACAGAGAGTGACTCCAGGATGTCGCCTCAGGAAGGGAAGCCTCCTTGTCATTCTGTTTCAATGGCATTTCCTTATCATTTTACGTAAAGACCCTACTTGCCCCCATTTGGTACACAAAGACAAATGCACGCAGAATTTACTTCTTTATTGATAATGCAACTATAGGAGAGATAAGGGTGGCAGGGTGTCAGTGACACCAAAAGAACCCATCTCCAATCTGGCTCCTGAACGTGAGGGCATTCTAGGACCTATCCAACATGAGGAAGAAAAGGTGGTCCAGGTTAGCAGGTGGTGCATTTCTGAGCATTGATGCTCTCTCATTTCTCCTACACTTGGCTCTCCTGTTCTTAAACCACACCTATGATCAGAGGGAAAAAGGGATCGGTTTAGCATATCGAACACTTAATGTCATCATAGAAAAAATGCTACGTGCCACTGTATATGCCATGGAGATTTTACACGCCGCACCAAGAGAAACTATTTACTCAGGAAAGTTAACACCACACCCCCCCCTCCCTTTAGCTCATCCTTAGTGAGCACCAGCTATGTGCCCAGTTCCAGAATAAGCTATTGCTTTGTCTCTCTCCTCCCAGTTTTAATATTCAAATGGTTTTTTCGGGTATTGGATGTAGGTCTAGCTTATGAGTTGCCCTGGGTCCTTGTTGTTGATCCAATGCCTGGTAATAGGATAAAGAAAGGTCTGTATCCTGACAGCTGATCATCAGCTGTCCAGTTACCTCCTGCCCCCTCCACACTAAAGAGAGAGTCACCTTGTTTTGGGGCGCAATCTGGCATTGTAAATAGTGGGCCCTATTTAAAGTCCTACTGACGGGAACGGCTCCCTATTTGAAAGGCCTATCTGCAGTGCAACGTAAATAATTAACAGGAGGAAATGCGTTGGGTTTTTAGACAGATTTCCTTCAAGGATGTCTAAGGGGTCATTAGTCCTCTGAAACCTTGAGAGTTAAAAAGTAGTCTGGCAAAGGAAGGCCTAGTCATGGGATCCCACGGAGTTTGTGGCTTGTCTAGCTGGGACACGAGAGTTGCTGAAGCCACGAACACTGCCTTGATTTTAGCCTATAGTGTTAAGGAAAGTGGACACCAACTTGACCCAAATTAACGAAAATGCTCACCAATCTTTGGCCACCCAGGAGTTGAGAGGAAAGAGGCACACCATTGTGGCCATTGTCGGTTCTGCATGCTCCAAGCTGCCCCACCCTACAAACCTTCCTGGGCTCAGGACCAGGTCAGCTTACTCTGCTCTGGCTATAGTTCCGGGATCCTGGACCGGAGCCGCTGTTGTCCCGCAGGGCAGCTTATCCCAGGCGCTGCTACTCAACCAGGAGGTCCCAATCCCATCCCTTATTCTTAAGGCAAGAAGGTGGAACATGCATTTTAGGAAGATAGTCGACAACAATGAGGGTAAGGGATCATAAAATGGCTCCTTCCTACATCTCTGTCAACTATTTTTGCAAACACACACACAAACAAAACTGTCAGTTAGACTTCACTGTCTTCTCGGTGTCCTAGTTGATGGGGTTAACATTGTATTTAAAGCCTTTCAGAAGTTTCCAAACTGCACAAAGGGCTTTTTCTCCTTGCCTGAGGCCTCATGTTTGCTCTCCTATTTTAAGATTGGTGGTATTTTGGGATGCCTGGGTGTCTCAGTCGGTTAAGCTTCTGCCTTCGGCTCAGGTCATGATCCCGGGGTCCTGGGATCGAGCCCCACATCGGGCTCCTTGCTCAGTGGGGAGCCTGTTTCTCCCTCTGCCTGCCACTCCCCCTGCTTGTGCTCTCTCTGACAAATAAATAAATAAAATCTTTAACAAAAAGATTGGTGGTATTTCTGCAGCATGAATACATAATTTCAACAAGGCCAGTGTAATAGAGCTCATTTTGGGGGATCCAACTGTACCAGTGGTCAGATCTCCATAAACATAAGGTAACTGAAGGCCACAGCTAGCTATACTCTCAGTATTGGTTTCAAAAAAACAGTTCTATTTGCAAAACAAAGGAGGAAACATCTGTTAATTCATGCTGTATGGTTTGGAAATATATGGGAACACTAAGTATTTTTCCCTGATTTGTTTCTTGTGGCTTATGTTCCCTTCAGAATGCCACGGAGAGAGCACTACATAAACCTGGGAAGGAGAAAAAGCTAGTCACCAAACCTTACGTTTTTCTTTTCCTCTGCACGTGCCTTGTCAGCCTGAAAACGTGTTCCTAACCTCCTCCCATCTTTTCCAATCTGAGCCAGGCCTGGGGCTGTTGGGATGCTTTTACTCAATGGTCAGCTTTGTTGGGCTGCTTTTCAGATACTCCCACCACCAGATATGCAACTCCTTCTCTTTTAAAAAAATTTTTTAAAGTTTATTTATTTATTTTTTTTAGTGATCTCTACACCCAACGTGGGGCTTGACCCCACGACCCTGAGATCAAGAGTCACGCGCTCCTCCAACCGAGCCAGCCAGGCACGCCTGCTACTCCTCACATGCACTCTGTAGCAAAAGCCCATATACCCATCCTGATTTCCTTTCCTTTCTTTTTTGGG